TTGCACAGCATGTCTGAGAAACCTGACGGCTCTGGAAATTCACGTAGAGGCTTGAGTGCCCCTTTCCCATGAGATGGACATCACCTGGCACAGGGCAGATGCAGGTTGCCAAGGTACCAGAGCCAAGGCTGGCCCATTCAGCACAGCAGGGTGGTGGGTTCAAAAATCAACTCTTGTTTGGCTCTCAAAGGTGTATTTTTAAAGGGCTGGCTCCTCTAGGGACCCAGGGAGATGTCCCCCAACTTCTCTGCCCCTCCCTTGGTCATCATCTGCCTTCCGGGACTCTCATGGCCCCCACTGGAGGTACAGTGAGATTGTCTTCTGGGACATACTGGGAAATTAATTCACTCCCCAAAGAGCCTTTCCCGTAGCTCTCTGGCAGGCTTTTGTGAGAGGCCCTTTAGAAATGAGGGGTTCCATGGAGACGCACAAATACAAGAACGTGAATTCTTTCTGAGGCTCTGCAACACGAGTCACAACACTCATTTGTAGCCAGAGGTGTAGAAATGCAGATTTTATTGCTGCCATGCAACTGGATTTCATAGCTAAGCTAATAGCTATGACGAAGGAATTATTAAATTGTTAAATATTTCATTTATAAGGGAACATTGCAGTCACTTTAAAAGAAAAACTCAGAAGTCATCTGTTGAGAGTCATCCTCTGTGGGACAGCCCAGGAAGGACCAGCTGGCTCCACCATGTATCAGGCCACGATGGGTGGCCAGCATCCTGCCCCACCCTGGATGCCTGCTGATGCCTGGTAGTGGCAGAGAGGTTCAAACCGAGGCCCAAGTTCAGTGGCCTGGGGTCAGCAGCCCCACTCTATGTCCCCTGGGTGCTGTACCATCTAGCCACACCTGCTGGAAGGATCTCAGAGCCAAAGGGCTCAGACATGGGAGAGGGCAGAGCCTGGCCACACTCACTCTGCATCTCAAAGTCCACTCTGTTCCACAGGCCTGTGCTTCCAGAGCTCACTGCAAGAAAGTGCTCTGGGTAACAGCTAGTTTTCCTATTCGCACTACTCTCAACAAAGATCTCTAAGCCCACTGCAAGATGGAACTTGTACAAAGCAATTAACATTTTTAATACACGAAATATAAAGACATTAGGGAGACTTAAGAAAAAAGTTTAAGTAGTATTTCATGATGAAAGAAACAGTAAGTAAAGATGAAGTTCAAGAATAATGGTTTCATTAGATAAGCATTTGTTGGGGGAAAAATGAACACAAAGCTGACCTTCAGAAGAAATTTACAGGGAGAAAGTGGCCTCCTTAAAGCAATTCATTGTGCAATGAGACTGCTAGGTCTAAAGTAGTCAGAAAAGTGAGAATGATTTTCAGCATAATACTGAAATCTTTGGTACACTAGTATAGTAAACCAAAAGAAAAAAAACCACTTTTGACTAATATGACTAATATTATTGTAGGAAATGACCTGACTACTACTGAGTTAGCAATCTGACAGGAAAGTAGAGCACACTGTGTCCAACAGTTGGGTTCTGTTTGGATTCCTTCAATGGGAAGACAAGCCTTCACTTAGGGACTTCACCTTCCCTCTCCAGGGGCAACTGCATCTGCTGAGGCCCAGGAACAAGAGAGCTGCACAGACTCAACACTCCAGATGAGGAAGGGTAGCCTAACTGTCCCTTCCTATACAAATGCCCAGGTAACTGACTGTCACTCATCAATCTTTGGAAATTCTCTAAGGAAAGAAGTTGTGCCACCTGAAATTCTCTCTACCTGGTAATATTATTTTAACCTACAAAAACATCAAGTCCAAAGGGTTCAACTTAAAACATATTTTTTTGCTTGGCCTTGAAAAAACAAATAAATCAGAGCCAGGCATAATGGTGCATGCCTGTTAAGTCAGCCCTCTGGGAAGGTGCAGTAGGAGGATCAAAAGTTTGGGCCCAGCCTGGGCAACTTGATTTAGCGAGACCCCATCTCAAAAAAGGGGGCTGGGGACATAGCTCAGTGCAGAAGCCCTGAGTTCATTTCCCAGTACTACACACACACACACACACACACACACACACACACACACATCAGGAATAGCACATTCATCTCATGGAAGGATCCAGAAAAGGAGAAGTAGACTCATGAAGAGGAAGGGAGGCCCTGAGCAGAACTGGCCATGCTGGGCATGAGGAAGGATGAGTGCCTGGCACCAATGGGTCATAAGAGCTGTAAGCTGGTCCTCTAGGAAGAAAAGGTCAATGTGCTGAAACTCAAGGATCAAGTCAATTATATTTATCTTTTGTAAACAGGTTGAAATGGATAGAACTGGTCTAAATCTGAAAAGAATATGATGAAAAATGATATATAAAATTATGTTAAACACATCTAAAAATGAAAATGCACAGAAAATGGAACTGGTTGAGGAAACATTCATTTCAAATGGGCCTGTTCTTCTCTACCTGCACCGAAGATTGATTCCTATGAACCCACAGCTTGCAGAGGGTGTTGAGATACTGGACGATCTTCCTTCTGAGGACTTTTCCTTCACTGCTGATGTCACTGGTGTTACAAAATGTAAACTGGACAAAGAGGATCCCCAACAAATGACAGAAAGACAAGGGGCATTAAACATCCGGAGGGAGTACCAATTAATTCTATGTTAGCACCAGCCATTACGTCCCTTCCTGAAACTGTAAAAGCCACACACCTGGTCTCTGCTCAGGAGTAAATGACTGTGCTAAATTAAAAAAGTTGGCTTGCACATACCTGGGCGTGAGAAATCCCATCCCCAGCAACATCCACTAACTGTGGCAGGTGGGCCTGGCCCAAGGGACTGCAGGCCACAGAAGTAAATACTCTGGGCCTGCACCTGCCTTGGAGCTCCCAGGGTACCAGGAGAAAGAAAGGCGTTACAGTCTGAGCTCTGCCCACCCCAAAACTGAGCCAGGGTCAACCTTGTCCCAGTAAGAAGTGCCTCCCTGCACTGCAGGGCAGGGGCAGCTGGATGGCTTTACCCAATCCCGATGGCACTATAGGGCTTCCTGGTCACTAAGACCCACCAGGACCTGCTGGCATGGAGACAGCCTGTGCGGATTGGTGTAGACTTCTGAGAGGGGGATGCAGGGCTAAAAGTGTTCTCATGAAGGGCTGGAATGTGCCTGAGGAGCCCCAGGGGCCAGTTCCCATTTCAGGGGCCAGCAAACACTGATGTGGGACAGCCATGAGGGCACAAAGTCTCAGCGCTGGTTTGAGGAGTAACTGATCATCCCATTATCATTGTCTTGGACTGAGACCAGCACAGAAGCTCATTGTCCAGGGCTGGCCGGCCTTAGGGCACATGACTCTCTGGATTCAGGAGGGGCCAGGCCATCACTCCATGAGCAGCACCACTGTCTGACTTGCCAGAACCCTAGCAATTTCCTTGCAATGTTGGCCTCTACATTTTTAAGTTATACAACAAATCTTAAATTTAGGGTTTCACAGGCTCATACCCTTCACACCATCCCATATATGATTATACAGATACTTCATGCCCTGTTTTGTAGAAGTTTTTTTTTTTTTTCTGTTCTGAGCTCTTAGGTCTCAGATGACTTGGGAGATTTAAAAAGAAGAGCCTGCTGAGCAGCTCTACCTTGCTCCTGGTAGGGCAGTAACCCCAAATGGAGACACTGGATAGAGGAATCAGCTGCTCTAAGGTTCCCAAGTCCTGCTTAAAAAACCGAACCCATCTCACTGCTTTGGACTACACAACTGCTATGTGGGGCAGATCAGATGTGCTCAACCAGTGGGCTCGAACTCTTGGGGATGGACACATGGTGGAGGTGCAGCAGGTAGGATGATATGCTGGGCAGGGGCATGGCAAGAGGGTGGGCAGTGCCCTTGTCTCTATGCCGCATAGATGATGGAGGTTCTTTGGATATGTGCAGTGTGGTGGAAACAGTAACCTACTCACCCCAGGGACCCCCACTTAGAAACTCTGTAGTCTCTGCTGAGAGAAACCTTTGAGACAGTTCTGTTTGACACAGGAGAGAATAAGGTGCTTGGTTCATTACAGCTGTATAGTTTCAGGGTATTTTGCACAAAAAAATGTTCCTGGTTTTATGCATTCAGTTTTCTGACCTTGTTAGTAAATTCAGGCATTAGTGTAACCTTGGGGGCTTCACTGAAAACTCCAAGTTTGTTTTTGCCGAAAATCTTAGCAGCATTTAGAATACCTTTAATTGTACTCACTAAGCACTATTTTGAAATTCAAGATTGCTTTAAATTTACCATATCTAAAATCTCAGGGTAATTTTTTTCCTTAAGGATATGTATATACCTACAAATATACATCTGAATATGAATATATATTCATTTACATTGAAATAATTATAAAAATCACTATGCAAAATACATTTCTGGTATGCATCTAAAATGATGTTAGCTGTTATAATTAATTTCTGTGTTGAGCAGATCCAAACAAAAGCTTTAAAAGAAATGCTAGGAAAATATCTTTAGGTTATCAGGGACTTTAAATGCCTTTAGCAATCTACATTTAAGCAACATCAATTTATCTTTTAAGAATATATTTAACTATGGTAAGTCTCTAAGCTTAAATTTATCTGAGAGGATATGAAGTCACTGCCTATGATGTAGCTGTCACCAAGTGAGTTTATGGAAGTGGCTAATTGTCCATGTACAAGTCTCATTTTCTGTGCTGTTGGCAGGCAGATAGTTTAAGTTAACAATAAGCTTATTGAAAAATTTACTGCTATTCAGATGTGTTCCTATTTAAACCTTTCAGCCAGCGAGAGTCAAGAGTCGATCTGCATGCATCATTTTTACTGCCTTTGCCAAGAATTATGTGACCACATGCCAAAACTAACACAACCACTTGGAATGGGCGGAGATCACGAGCTCTTGTCCTTCAGTTTGGCCACATGCTGCTTGTGTTTAGATGATGTGAAAATCGCAAGTTGGTGCAGTCAATAAATGAGCTATGATGTCAGTGATAGTTAATAAGCGAGGCTCACAAAAGGTTGCATGTGAAAAGCACAGTTACCAACCTTGCTGGAACACAGGATGGTGGAAAGCAGGCAAGGGGAGTCCTTTGATGGCCACAGGCTTGTGGAAATAGGCATCCAGCCAGGCTATGCACTGCATCAGGGGCTCTGTCATTCCTTCTGGACCGCTGAGAGCCTCAGGAACTGCTGGGGCCTCCACGGGGCTGCAAAAGTGATAACAGGAGCTTAGTAAACCTCTGCGTCCTGCCTCCACATGTGAAAAGCTAATGCCTACTGCATTTAGCTGGGGAACACTGCCAGCTACTCTCTGGATGTGTGTGTCCACTGGCTGTACAGCAGGCCTGAGAGCAGAAAGACAGACTGAAGGGGGCCAAGGAAGGAGGATGGTGTCACCTCATTTACTCTTTTTCTCTTCTGGCTTACAAACCATGGGAAAGGCCCAGAATGTGGGCTCTGTGAGGGATATGAAAGAACAAGAGAGATACACACTCAAATGACTGTGAGAGTGTGCTGCTGTTTAAGATTTATGGATGGCGTTCCTGTACCTAAAATCATCAAGTATTCCTCATCAAAAATTTCTCCAGAAATACTATCAAAGTAAGAGACTGTGCTGTACACATCCCACCACCTAGCCTGAATCCCAACAGTGAAGGGCACATCCCATGCTCTGGGTGGCATTGTGCTACACTTAGGGGAGTTTCTCAGAGCATGTCCTTCTGTGTGGCTGTCCAGGCCCAGTGAACACAGCTTTTCTAGTCTCCTTCTTAGACAGCTTCTGAGGCTCTTGTGAAAAGGTGGAAAAACTTTTGAGAGGCAGATGCAAGTGCTCCTTGAGCCTGTCAGCCCGGCCTTCCTTGGCCAACACCTCCCCAGGCATCCTTTAAGGGATAGTGTGTACACTTCCATCTATAGACACTGTGTCTTTACACATGACCCTTGTGAGCATCCTGGTGAAGAGAGGAGGTCTTTGTTCACCTGGAAATGTGACTCAGCACAGGTATGACAGGTAGTGGTGAAGTACCCCGGAGCACAGGCCTACCTGTGTATGAGGTAGGGCAACAGGTGACAGTAGAGCTAGTGTCCAGGATCACAGCTCTGGGCTGTAGGAGACCAGTGGTTCATCTCAGATTAGCCAGTATCAGAGGCTGGCTTGGAGAAGATGATGAAGCTAATATTGTATCTTAAGAGTAGGAGCTTGGATAGTATACAGAGCAGTTAGTCTTCACTTTTGTGTGAAGTGGAAACCAAGTTTGCACAAATCTGGAGAGTTAGAGGCACACAATGAAACTATATGCCTTTCTTCTAGTTACAAAAGTACACTCTTATGGTTAAACTACATTCAGAAAGGTAACAGTAGCTCACACACACAGCAACATACATTCTAAGGGTGTTAAAGGAGGCACAGGTTACACAAGCTCAAACACCCTTTGGGCAGGTCCATGTTGGCACTTTCTATCTCAGAATGATAAGTACATGTTCACCAGAATGAAGTTCTGCATTCCATCTGAGGGACAGGAAGTGAGTCAGAGAAGGGCATCTTTGCATGTAAACACCAAGGGTCCTCTGAAAGGTACCAGGGAATGGGTGGAGAGGGGAGCTGTAAACTCTCCAGGCAGGGACAGACCACTGAGATGAGAAGTCAGGGCTGACACTCAAACCCTTGTAGGCCAGCTGACCCTGTCAACATTATGACTAGACAGAATAGGTCTAGGTTTTTTTCCAAACTGTGACAAGGCTAGATAGGGCTCTCCTTTAGCCCAATACCCTGAACAGACAGGTTGTCTACCAGCCTGAGCAGCTGCCTGGAAATCCTTGCTGGCCCAGGAGCAAAGAGACCCCTAGAGATGCCAGGTCAATCCATAGGCAAAGAATGGGGCTGCTCCTGGAGAGCTACCTGGGGAAATGGAAACATTATCTTCTCATTGCCTAATTTCTTTCTCTATTAGCAATGTCTGATTGTAGAAAGGAGAATTTCTGCCCCATACTCGGCTTAATTATTATTCAATTTTAGAGACACATTCTCATTCTCTTCTTGCTCTGCTCCTCACTAACCAAATACAATGGTGACTAAAATGAAAGGTAGATAAATATGTAATATGCTTTCCCATTCTGATCTCCAAGGACAGAAGGAGAACAGAGGGAGCAGACATGGTGTCCACCTGAGGGTGAGAGCTCCTTCAGAGCACAGCAGGCAGCAGGCAGCCAACAGCGGCCTGAGGATTGACTCTGTCTGCCCAGACAGGAAGCTAACAGACTTGACATCCATGCATGACCCTCAACTGGCGACACCAGGGGGACTGGACCACCTCAAGACCCTGTGCCAAATCACCTTGGCCTGGGACCTTCCACAAGAGGAACTCAAGTGACTTCTTCTGTAGAGCTCAAGTGGTGGGCTGGGGTGTAGGTCAAGCAGGTAGCAAAGGCCAGGGCCTCAAGGTCAAAGACAGGGTTAGCTTTCAACACTTTTGAGGCCTGCTTGGCCACCACAACACCACAGTTTCCTTGGGGAAGTCAGCATTTACTATAGGAGTTGGACATTTTAAAGTGAGAGGCAGGAGCTTCTGCAAAGAAGCTTTTGGCTTCTACGAAGCCAAAACGAATGGTCCTTATGAAGAGGTGCCCTGAATGTGTTTGGTGCTTCCAGGCCATGCCCATGCTGGTGGCCTTCCTTCCACCTTGCTAGGGGATCTGAAACGTGAGCTGCGTTTCCTAGCATTTCCCACTCTTAAAAGGATATATGAAGAATTTTTATAGTAGTAAAATTCATCTTAAATTGATTTTTTATGCTTGTGCTAAAGATCTCACCTCTGATTTACTCTGTAGTTCTCCTTTTTAACTCTTTCTCTATTGGCATTAGATAACTAGTCATGGGTGAAATGTAATTAAACAGCTTTGATTCCGAAGCAAGGATTTATGAGACTACATTTAAAATGAATGGCATTAAACACACACATAAAACCAAATTTTTAAAGCCATGACACAAATTTCCATTTCTACAATAAAATGAAATTTATTCTCCTGCCCTGCCCTCTCCTCCAACCTTGCCTGGCTCATCCCAGGAAGAGCTTTGGTGTGACAGCACTGCTAACAGCCGCTGTTATGATGGAGGAGTTTCTCCAGGATTCCCCACTGATGACTCTGGAAACTCCAATTATTACCGGCTCCATGGTGCACACTCTTAAATCCCACATCCAAGTCTTCCCAGTACCTCAGCTGGCACTCAAATACAAACCCCTGTGGCCAAATCATGTCTCTAGGAAAGCACTATAGCATATGAACCCAAATAGTGCGCCACTAGGCATCATCATGGAGTCTGGGCCAGGATACCAGCTAGGAAGTTGGTGCTGCAGGAGAGAAGACTCTTGCCCCAACATCAGTGGGGACTCTAGGGGGAACACCAGGGTCACATCTCCCTAGTATCTCCCAAAATGCCACTTGTCACCCACAGAATAATCTTCAGGTGAAGCTTTTGATACTGGGACCTTTTTATTCTCTTTAACCCAATACTGTGGTGCCTTGGTTCAGGAATTTAATTCTTTCTGTGATTGTGGTCACAAACTGAATTGGATGAGAATGAAATCAAATTTCCCTGTAAGGTCAACATTGAACCTAACCATTGAATTTGATTTGGTTCTCATCCAATTCAGTTTGCGACCAGAATCATAGAAAGAAAGAAGTTTGTGAACTGAGGTACCATTATATAGGAGAACAGCAGGTGGCTGAACAGGGACCTGTCTTCTTTGATCTCTGTCCACAGGAGATCAGGGGTATCTTAATGCAGCAAAGATGGGGTCACACATGGACCATGCCAAAGATTTCTTAAAGAAATTACCAATTGTTGGCTATCTCGGGATTCCTTAAAAACAAGTAGGACAACAGTTCCTTGCCTTCAGTAGAGGCTCCTAGAATTCTAGTGCATGGACTGTCCTGTGTTAAGTTCTTGTGCTACGGTTGTCTGAGAGCAGTGTGCCGACCAATTATACTTGCTGGACTTGGAGAAAGAATGTTCCAGGGAGGCATATACTTCTGATTTATTCTGATAAAAACCTTCCTTTCCTTGAGCCTAAACAGGACAGAGACAAGTGGCTAAAATTGCTACAGCATAAACTCCTGACATGTAAGTATGCACAGTAGTCATTCCAGGGGAGTTGACCTTCTGCCTGGTATGCAGCTTGCATTTCAAGACAGGGTCATGGTCAGGAACACAAAAGAAGAAGAGCAGCATTATGCCCAGGGAAGTGGGAGATTGGAAGGTGACTTACCCGAGATAAAATGAGATGGCCCTGGTGGACAGGGGCATCTGTTTACCATCGAAAGTTCTGCCTTGCTGTAGCCAGTCTTGCCTTCAAAATTTGATCAAGTTAGTGAAATACCAGGCAGAGCCAGAGAGAACAAGGCTTTCCATTGCAGATGTAACTAGGGACTCACTCAGGAGACAGGACAGTGTGCCAGGCCAGCCACACCCATGTTGGAAGCCGTGTTGGTCTAATGCTTTACCACGCACTGCCATGTGCCTGGTGTAACTTGAGGGAAGCAGAAAGAGGGCTTCTGCCACCACGTCTTCAAGTTCTTCCCACTTACAGATGTACTTAGTACTTTAAAATATGACTGGCTCAATGCGAGTCTTGGGTATTCGTATTCTAGGTGTTTCAAGACCCCAGTGGCAGTAAAGAATCACTAAAGGCCGATTTCTCAGTGAATTCTACTCCTCTAAGACATTAAAATGTAATATACTCGGCTTAAATCACATTTCAGGTAAGAAAACTGGCCACAAGTTCTTTATAAGTTAATCACATCTGATTAGCACCATTAGTCACACCCAGCAGGTAGACTATAGTACATTCGAGATTGATGGTGCTATGGGCTCATAGTTATCTCTTCTATGATTGGTACATTTCTGATCTCTTTCTGCATAGAATGGGATTTTTGTCTTATGGTTTGGGAATATTAACTGTGACACTGGACTACAACCCAAGAAAAGAGTTCCACAGACCCCAATTCCTCTGGAATCTGGCAAGGAGCTGACATAGACTGTGTCCTTCAGGAAGGAGTAAAGGCGGCTACATGGATACTTGTGGAGATTCTGGCAAAGCTCTCAGTAGGGGGAAGAGCTCAGAACTGTGGCCACACATAGCACACTGGACACCTTTAGATAAGAAATATTTCCCATACCAAGCTTGTTGAGAAAACTTTGCCTTTTCTG